CGGTGCCGGAGGCCGCTCTGGGCTCCTCTGGGCACCTCCCCCGGGGCGGTTTTGTGAGGATTTCTCAAGCGAGGGCGCCGGTTTGGGATTCGTCACCAGATCCAGCGGATCCACCGGATCTGTCCGGAAACGGTGCCGGAGGCCGCTCTGGGCTCCTCTGGGCACCTCCCCCGGGGCCGGTTTTGTGAGGATGTCTCAAGCGAGGGCGCCGGTTGGGGATTCGTCACCGGATCCACCGGATCTGTCCGGAAACGGTGCCGGAGGCCGCTCTGGGCTCCTCTGGGCACCTCCCCCGGGGCCGGTTTTGCGAGGATGTCTCAAGCGAGGGCGCCGGTTTGGGATTCGTCAACGGATCCACCGGATCTGTCCGGAAACGGTGCCGGAGGCCGCTCTGGGCTCCTCTGGGCACCTCCCCCGGGGCCGGTTTTGTGAGGATGTCTCAAGCGAGGGCGCGGGTTTGGGATTCGTCGGCGGATCCACCGGATCCACCGGATCTGTCCGGAAACGGTGCCGGAGGCCGCTCTGGGCTCCTCTGGGCACCTCCCCCGGGGCCGGTTTTGTGAGGATGTCTCAAGCGAGGGCGCCGGTTTGGGATTCGTCACCGGATCCACTGGATCTGTCCGGAAACGGTGCCGGAGGCCGCTCTGGGCTCGTGCTCTTCGCGCCGGGGGTGAGGATGACGTGAGTTCCACAGAAACTCCCTCAAATGAATAGCTCGGGCGACTTCATAAGGGGATGGTGACGAGACGTGGACAATGTATTTCTGCGACCAGCAGTTGGTAGGTCCCATTTGACTCAGCCGCGGGCCCCCACTATGCTGGCCCCCCTAGCAGGCCTCGAAATTGGCGACAATATCACAGATCGCAGCCCCCCAGGGATGGCGAGGTCTAATTTGAGTCTGCGGCGGGTACCCACTCTGTTGGCCTCCCCAGCAGCTCTCGAAAGCGGCGACAATATCACAGATCGCAGCCCCCCAGGGATGGCGAGGTCTCACTTGAATCTGCGTGGGACGTCGCTATGCTGGACTCCCAGCAGGCCTCGAAAGTGGCGACAATTTCACGGATCGCAGCCCACAAGGATGGCGAGTTCTAACTTGAATCTGCGTAGGACGTCACTATGCTGGACCCCCAGCAGGCCTCGAAAGTGGCGACAGTTTCACAGATCGCAGCCCCCAGGTATGGCGAGGTCTAATTTGAACCAGCGGCGGGTACCCACTCTGTTGGCCTCCCCAGCAGCCCCCGAAAGCGGCAACAGTTTGACAGATCGCAGCCCCTCAAGGATGACGAGGTCAAATTTGAATCTGCGTAGGACGTCACTGTGCTGGCCTCCCCAGCAGCCCTCGAAAGTGGCGACTATTTCACGGATCGCAGCCCACAAGGATGGCGAGGTCTAACTTGAATCAGTGGCGGGTACCCACTCTGTTGACCTCCCCAACAGCCCTCGAAAGCGGCGACAATATCACAGATCGCAGCCCCCCAGGGATGGCGAGGTCTAGTTTGAATCTGCGGCGGGTACCCACTATGTTGGCCTCCCCAGCAGCCCTCGAAAGTGGCGACAGTTTCACAGATCGCAGCCCCCCAGGGATGGCGAGGTCTAATTCTGATCTGCTGTGGGTACCCACTCTGCTGGCCTCCCCAGCAGGCCTCGAAAATGGCGACAGTTTCGCTGATCGCAGCCCCTTGGCAAGATGCACACACAAGAGGTACCGCAGCCAGGATGCACACACACACACGCACACACACGAGGTACGCAAAAGACAAGAGGAGACAAGAGGAAAGCGAGAGGCGAGAGGCGGGAGGAGGACTGGAGACCGCAGTGCTATATTCAAAACGAATACCCAACCAAGGAGGTTTGGGGAAAAACTCAATCAAGCAGGTCCCAATCGACAACCGCTGATTCAGCACCGGGGCGCCCTGGCCCCACCTGCCCCTCCTTCTCCTCCTCCTCCTCCTCCTCCTCCTCCTCCTCCTTCTCCTCCGATCCCCCCACCTGCGCCTCCTCCTCCTTCTCTCTCCAAATGTGCAAGAGCCAGAGCACGCGTGCCACTTGTTCAGGCTCCTCGCCCCAGGAGGAGGAGGAGGAGGAGGAGGAGGAGGAGGAGGAGGAGGAGGAGGAGGAGAAGGTGGAGAAGGTGGAGGAGGAGGAGGAGGTGGAGGAGGAGGAGCTGGAGAGTGAGGAAGAGGAGGACGACGACGGCGACGACGACGACGACGACGACGACGACGATGCTCCGAACGGCCTGCGCCCCCGCCGACTGCGCCAACGCGGAGCCCACGCTCTGCAGCATGGCCTCGAAGCCCTGCCGCAGTGCGCCGAGCACGGCCTCGGTCATGGCCTGCTGCAGGGGGGCGGGGGATCGCCAGGAGTCCCCCCAAAAGGGAGGGGCGAGGCAGACGGGAGCATCCCCAGGCAGGAGGAGAGGAGGAGGAGGAGGAGGAGGAGGAGGAGGAGGAGGAGGAAGAGGAGGAGGAGGAGGAGGAAGAAAAGGAGGAGGAGGAGGAGGAGGAGGAGGAGGAGAATTCAGTGGAATTCGGCGACGACGGTGTCGAGAGGTGCCAGATGACAAGCGCCTGGTAGGGGGGCCACCCTTACCCTAGTGAGGCACATCATTGCCTTTGGAGAAGCAAACAAGACATCACCCGTTTACCGTTTTTGGCCGGGGTGATTACAATAATCAAAAGTGCCACTCTCCCTCACACAAACACAGCGTCAGACGTTAGGGGAGTAGGACGGAAAGAAAGGGAAGAAGAGGGACAATGAGGGAGGAACAGGCAGGGAGATGACTGACTGACTGCCGCCTAAAATGCCGAAATAGGTAGGGGAAGGAAGAATAAGTTGTGAGAAAGAGGGAGGTGTAGAAGAGGAGGAGGAGGGAAGAAAGGGGAAGCCCCCCTCCATTCTCCTCCGCCTCGTCGTTGTTGTCATTATTGTCCTCCTCCTCGTCCTCCTCCTCCAACTCCTGCTCCAACATCCTCTTCCTCCTTCCTCGAGGGGGGGGAAGAGGAGGAAGAACAGGAGGAGGAGGAGGAGGAGGAGGAGGAGAAGGAGGACGGAGCGGTGGATATGGGGATTGACAGTTCTGTTAGTGGTTGGCGGCCCTGGGTGGCTCTAGAAAGGGCCCATGACCTTCCAGGGAAAAGTGTGGAGGAGGGAGAGACAGGATGGAGGGAAAAGGAGGAGGATGAGGAGGAGGAGGAAGAGGCAGGAGGAGGAGGAGGAGGAGGAGAGCTGAGATCGGAGGGAGACCCAACGGGTGCGGACTGGGGAAGAAAGGAAAACGACGCCTCCCACGGAGGAGCGAGGAAAGGAGGAACGGAGGGAGAAGGAATAACAAGCATCAGGAGCACTGGGGTGGGGTTGGCGCAGTGCCCCTTTTCTCTCTGCTGCCCTGCTGCTCTACTGGCCACCTCTGTTTTGTGCCTTGTCCTGCTCCTCGCTTCTCGAGCATCAAGAACCGTCATGTGGGCCTCTCCTGGGGTTGGCTGCCACAAAAACCTTGAAGGGGAATCCCGCCATGACGCGGAGAAGCCCACAGGAATCTCCAGACACCCTCTTCCTCGGTTTTCGGTCCTGGATCGGTTGACGTTGTAATTTGTCGTGTGGCATGCCGCCCCTGGGGCTGTCGACCCGATATTGGAGCAGGAGAGGATCAGCGAAGTCGGCTTCTCCTTCGGTCGGCCTTCCACAAACTTCGTGGTTGGACTCTGCCTCAGGGCCTGCTCGGCCACAGAGCTCGGACAGAAAATGACTACGCATGGAATTGCACTGTGCGCTGCCGGTTCAGAGCGGAGCTACCCGTGGCAATGTTTGACGGGCGGGTGCCACTGTTAGCACCAACGGCAGACGACCCTTTCTTCGTGACCGTGCCGCCGGGCCGTGCCCTCATCCGGAACAGTTTGAAGGGGCCCCAGGACACACAAATAAATACACACAAATAAACATATTCCCTATATTTTCCCATATTTTCTGGGTTTCTGTATTCCCCCCACTTCCCATATTTTCCCATATTTTCTGGGGAATCGAGGATTAATTGTGTCTGTGTGTTTTTTCCCCTCCTGATGTTAGCACCAACGGCAGACGACCCTTTCTTCGTGACCGTGCCGCCGGGCCGTGCCCTCATCCGGAACAGCTGCTCGACGGCCCCGCGGCCCGAGAACGGCCCCCGGAGGCCAAACAACGAGACGCCAACCGCTGCGATGCTCCTGCGACGCCCGGACCTGCGCGGTGGCGGGCAGCGTTCGATAGGGGGAAAACAAACCTACCTCGCTTTTGACCACCCTCGCTTCCAAGCGATACCAAACGATGCCAAACTACGGCCTGTACTGGTCAGGCCGCCTGACGAGGAGGCGCGTGGTATGGCTTGGTTTTGCCTGGAAGCGAAAGCGGGGGAGGTAATTCACGCTCTGAGAGGAGGAGCTCCGACCACCTCCCCGAGGCGAGATCTTCACCCCGAGCCCGGACCGCCTTTTTCTGTCTGCCGGCGGAGCACGACCGCGAGGGAGGGGAAGGGGGGACTCCCCTCGGGGCGCGCTCTCTGAGCCAGCTTCGCGAACGCGCACGCACCGCTCAGCAGGCCGCCCACCCTCACAACCCCGCGTCTTGTCTATCCGTTCTTTTCCTTGTCCCCGACGCGGGTCGAGACCAAAGAACGACCACACACCCACTCCCCCGCCAGGAGACCCGCGCCCGAACCCCCCCTGGGCGCCAAGCACGGGGCAGTTACGGGCCCGGCCGCGCTCGCGCGGGAGGCGCGCAGCAGCCCCTACCCGGCCGCCGCGCAGGCAGGCCAGGGCGAAACGTCGGGGCGCTGGCTCTGGATCTGTCCCAGCGTAAGGAGGAGACGGCCGGAGGTGTCCGATGATGACAGGCGGAAGGTAGCTGCCACACTGCCCACTCGAGGGGTGGTGCAGTCCAGCGGATCGCAGCGGAAGCGGCGAGGGGGAGGCCCGGTCGACCCCCGGGGTCCTCCCGAGCGGCATGCGCAACCGCCAGGCACGCGGGCGAGCTCAGACCTAGCGGCCGCCGCGGGCCGCCTCGGGCGCCAAGGCGTCCCCGCGCCAGCGCCGCCACCACGTGGCTGGTCTGCCGGTTCCCCTTTGCACTGGGTGGAAGGTGGAATAATTAAATTCCACGGGCAGGACCACCCCCGGGGGCACGCGTTGCGAGCTTGACCCTAAATGGCCACGCCAAAAGTCAAGTTCCCCCCTCCCGCCCCTCGCGCTCGACTCTGTCAGCTCCGCAAGCCCGTGTCCGACACAACCCAAAGCTGGGGAAGGCGAAATCGATGGTCCCAAAGCCGAGAGACAGTCTCCAGAAGCCGAGAAAGACGAAAAGCTGGCCGTCGCGGTTTTTGTTGCGCCGTCCGGATCTGAGGGTGACACACTCCCTCCTCTGAGGGACGACGCTTGGGGGGGACATGCACAGGGGGGAAGAAACATCGAGCTGGACTCGCCGATGAATCGGCGATGGTCGGGTCGGGCGAAAGGGGGGGATAGCAAAGGGGGGGTTTGAGAATCAGCTCACGTAGCTGATTTTCCCGGCGCCTCCCGGCGCCGGAGGCGACCATGTATCGAGGAATGGGCCCCTCGGTGAGGCCGAAACCAGCTGCATGCAGCAAATTTCGTAAGCCCCCCTTTCCCAATCCCCCCCTTTCGCCCGGCCCGAGATGGGTCCCCGATAGCAAAACCGCACGGTTCTGGGCGGGGCGGGCTATCAGGCCCCAGCTGGCGACTGAGGGCCGATGCGTCCTCCCTGAGCCTACCCCCCAACATCAAGCGGACTTCGGGCCACAACTCGAGCCTCCAGCGGCCGTTCTGGACGACTCCCGTGCCCTTGGAACGCCCTCGAGGAGGCGCAGCTGATGGAGACCACCCCATGCGTCGAAAACTTTTCCCCCTGAACCATGATCAGGGGTCAGATATCGATCCCTGGACATTTCGTATGTTTCTTCAGACCAAAACCTCGAAGTGGATCCAGCAGTGGCCATCAGGGCGCCCCAGGGCGATCAAAACCTCCAGACAGCGAACCTCGAAGCTAGAACCTCGAACCTCTGAGCCTATCCCCCTATTTCGCTGCCCAATAGAATCCCCTGCCCAGCGGGCGCGGCCGGTGACGGCGACACCTCGCTCAGCCTGCGCTTGGCCGCGTCCAGCTGCAGCCCGAGGACACCTCCGGCGCTTGACTCCTGGTCGCTGCGAAGGGGGGGCCCTGTGGGGGTGACTGGCGAAATCAGGAGGAGAGAAAGAAACCTTGTGACCTCAGGTCTGGCGGAGTGTGGGGGAAGAGGGTGATCAAGGATCCGCGGGCCAGAAGACTGCCGCCATGTTATAAAGCATGGCCAGGCGAGCAGGAGGGTCCGTCAATCTTGCAGGGTAGTCGAGTTTTGTCCGCACGTTGATGGTTTCTCGATCGTTCGTAGCGCTTGAATCTTGGAGCTCACGGTACAATCCTGAGGAAGAGGAGGACAATCATAAGATTATCCCGGCAAAACAACCTAACAGCGATGTGTAGGAGCATATCTGGAAGCATTCCCCTTCAGATTCAGATGAGAATCCAGTTGTAGAATTCTGCTGTTCTCGCAGTCGTAGTCGCATTCGCGATGACAGTCGCAGTGGCAACGGCAGTCGCAGTCACAGCCTCAGCCTCAGCCTGCCTCAGCCTCAGCCTCAGCCTGCCTCAGCCTCAGCCTGCAGCCTCAGCCTGCAGCCTCAGCCTCAGCCTCAGCCTGAGCCTCAGCCTCAGTCTGCCTCAGCCTCGGCCTCAGCCTCAGCCTGCCTCAGCCTCAGCCTGCATCAGCCTCAGCCTCAGCCTCAGCCTGCCTCAGCCTCAGCCTCAGCCTCAGCCTGCAGCCTCAGCCTCAGCTGCTTCAGCCTCAGCCTCAGTCTGCCTTCAGCCTCGGCCTCAGCCTCAGCCTGCCTCAGCCTCAGCCTGCCTCGGCCGCAGCATCAGCCTGCCTCAGCATTCAAAATGTGGCCCAGGAATGGAGTTCTGGGAACTAGAAGAACACGAGGTGGCCTACAGTTGGCTCCGGGCATTCAAAATCATGCCCAGGAATGGAGTTCTGGGAACTGAAGAGCACGAAGTGGCCTACAGTTGGCTCCGGGCATTCAAAATGTGGCCCGGAATGGAATTCTGGGAACTCGAAGAGCACGAAGTGGCCTACAGTTGGCTCCGGGCATCAAAAATGTGGCCCGGGAATGGAGTTCTGGGAACTCGAAGACACGAAGTGGCCTACAGTTGGCTCCGGGCATTCAAAATGTGGCCCGGGAATGGAGTTCTGGGAACTCGAAGAGCACGAAGTGGCCTACAGTTGGCTCCGGGCATCCAAAATGTACGCCGGGAATGGAGTTCTAGCAGCGCCAAGAGCGATTTTGCGAGGATGTCCCAAGCGATTTGGGCTTCGACGGCAGCCGCGCCGGGTCCCGCCCCGGGTCCCGCCCCGACCCCCCTGAGGAGTCATGGTGCTCTCTATTGACCCCACTAGAAACCTATCAGTCTTCGCTGTTAGGTAAAAAAGACGAAGAAGCATACGACGAATTCTACTAATAATAAGACTACGAATAACAGTAACCATACGACAACGAATGCGAATAGGAATAATACTATTACTACACATTCTAATATAGATAACAGCAGTACTACGAATACGAATGCTAACATTAATACTGCTGTGTGTAATACTGATAAGCATGACAATCATAAAGCTACTACTACGAATCACAACGATACGACTAACAATGCAATATTAATGATACGAGTAAGAAGACAACTAAGACGAATAAGAAGAACATGCATATACCTAAAGAAGAGCACACTGACCCGAAGAGGGAGCGACGCGGCGGCGCAAGGACGACCCAGACGACAGCAGACACGAGGTCCCTACCCCGTGCTGGCGCGCCTGCGGGGCGTGGCCGAGAAGACCCGCCAAGTCGGGCTGGCTGCGGCACAGCAGAAGGACGAGGAGGAGGACCAGAGACCAGAGCAAACACATGATACGTCAATGATGTGTTCTGACATGTGCAGGGCTAAGCGGGCTACACATTCTGGTGGCGGCGGCGGCTAGGCAGAGGGATTGCGTTGGCGAGTGAATCCAAACGGGGCAACACTACGCGAATGCAGCCACCACGCAGGGGGGGGGGAAAACGACGACAAGGCGCCGGCCAGGGGAGGGGACCGAGATGAGCCGGGCCCGCTCAGAGCAGCCCCAGGTGCGTGGCGGGGCCAGCGCCGGGGGGCCAGCGGCGGCGGCAGGGCCAGGGCTGGCGGCAGCAAGGGCTGACGGGTTCCGCCGGTGAAGGGGGCGCACGAACAGTGAGAGTGCCGTACTCCACAGGAAAGGGTGCAGGGGGCGACGGTGACAAGGCGTTAGGATGAGGGGCGCGTGATCAAGGCTAGTGCGTTGGAGTCGGGTCGCTAAGGAAAGGGCTAGGATGCTGGAGTTAGGGCGTTAGGACAAGGGTACGCATGCCGCGGTCTCAAGGCCAGCGTTGCGGCGCTAGCGTTGGGGCGAATTATTGGAGACAGGTTTTTGGGATTGTGATATAAAGTGAGGAGTGCACGGGCGTACGGGTGCAAGGGCTTGGGTGTTCGGTTAACTCGTTTAGGTGTCTAGAGTTTGCGTGGCGCGATCGGGTCAACGTTGCGTTGTCTGGGGCAGGGTTACTGTTCGGCCTTGGGATGCTCGGATTGGCGCTGGGGCGTGAGGGTTATGATGCGAGGGTTGGGGCGCTAGGATTTGGGCGCTGGGCCTCGGGTATCAGGGAGTGAAGGTACTACACCCTGCGAAATGCTTAAGAAATCATGGGTTAAGAAATTAATAGTCTCAGAACTTGAATAAAAACCCAACATTTTTATTAAAATCTTAGGATTCACATTGAAACGTTAAGAATAATCGAGACTCTGGCCGCAAACTTAGGTTTTCTTAAGCATCGCCTAAGGTGTAGAAGTAAGTCGTTGGCGCTTGCGTGGGCTCTCGCGTGGGGCTAGAGCGCGCGGGTGACAACTAGGGCGCCAGGGCCAGGGCGCCAGGGCCAAAGGGCCCGCGGCGGCCTGCGTCGCAGGAGGGGGGGGAGGGGGGGGGCAGCGGAGACGGAGGCGGAGTAGAATGTGGGAGTCTGGCAAGGAACGGCCACCCTAACTCGGGCGCCCCAGCGTTTTTTTCTGCTCGCGCGCGCAGAACGCACGGGGCACGATATACACTTGGGCGAAGAGGAAACGGAGGAGGAGGAGGAGGAGGAGGAGGAGGAGGAGGGGGAGGAGAAGGCAGAAGAGGAGAAGGGAGAAGGAGGTTCATCCACATCAAAAGGCGGAGTTCAATGGATGAAGAAGCAATGGGCACTGGACGAAGAAGCAATGGAGGATGAGAGAGAGGACAGGGAAGAAGACAAACCATGAAGAGGAGGAGGGGGAGGAGGAGGAGGAGGAGAAGGGGAAGGAGGAGAGGACGATGGTGATGCTGGTGATGATGAGGACGATGGTGGTGATGATGACCAAGGTGATGATGATGCTGATGATGACGAGCATGGCGATCATGCTGATGGTGGAGGCGACGTTGATCCCGATGATGATGACGCTTATTTTTTGCTGTTGCTCTGCGAGCGGAGCGCTCCAGCAGCGCAGCGCGACCGCGCGGGCACCGCTCAAATCCTGCTCGAGCTCGCTCGGGCGGGCCAGCGGGCCTGGGGGGCGGTGCCCGACGGCGCCCCTCCGCGGCGCCGCTCGCGGCCTCAGCCCGCCCTCGCGGCGGGCCGCCGCAGGGGCCGGGCCGCCGCGGGGGCCTCGGCGGCAGCGCGGCGGCCGCGAGCGCCGCGGAGAGCAGCGCCAGCGCGCCCGCGCGCGCCGTCCGCCGGCTCGGAGTGATGGGCAGCGCGCGTGGGCAGCCGGCGCCCCCGTCGACATTGCTGGCCAGGTCGCTGCCCCCCCGTCGACGCTCGGCGTGGAGACGTTCATCGTTCGCGCCCGCGCCGAAGACCGCGCGTCCGCCGCGGTCGAGAAGAGCCCGGCGGGACGACTCCAAGAGGAACTTGGACCCGTCGACCTGGCAGGCGCCCCCCCGCGCGGCGGCGGCGCGGCGGCGGCCCGGCGCCCCGCCGCGGCCGCTGGGGCCCGCGCGCTCGCCGGGCTGCCGGGGGCCCCGCCGCGGCCCCGCGGGCGTCGCCCAGGAGGGGCCCGTCGTCCTCCAGGGCAAGGCCGGCGCTGCAAGTAGCTCGAGGGTCGGCGGCGAAACTGGCTCGGGACGTCCAATTCAGCGCCGCGACTCTACAAATGTGAAGATATGGATCGATTCCGCACCTGGCCGCCGCTTCCTTCAAAGACCATGGGCGCCGAGCGCGCTTTCGCGCAGCGCCGCCTACTTTCGCTCGGTTGGCGAGGCGGACCAGCGCCGGCGGCGGCTCGTCGCGACCGCGCCGCCGCCGCCGCCCTGAACAAGCAGTGATGAAATGCCTCGTCAGCAGGCCCCTCTGACAATGGCGGCTTGGCCCCCCGCAGACATGCGCGGAAACCGCCCCTGGCGCGCGCGCCTTTCTGCCGCTCTAACGCCCGAGCCCTCGGCGCCCAAGGCCCCCGCCCCGCGCTTCCCGTCGCAAGAGTAACCAGTAAGAGCGCGGATGTCTGAGCCCAGCGCGTCGATGGCGCCAGCGCCCGCCGCTCGCAATTGCAGCTGGATGTCATTGGGCATATCCTCGACCAATGTCCGCAACTTGTCTGGGATCGTTGTTGCAGTCGGCTTGTCGCTGGCGACGAGCTCGCAACCTCCGACGCAACCAGAACTACCCAGCACATACTGAGACGCATCCTGCAAAAGGCATGGGTATGCAACGGCCATGTAGCAGCGCATTTCTTTCGCAGCGAGGTCGCCGATTTGCTTTGCGGCGCGCAACTTGTCACTGAAACCTCTCGCCCCCGTCGTCTTCAACGCTGCCTTGCGCGCGTCCTCAACATGCGCAGCAGCCTCTTCAGCTTCCAGCGCCTTGGCGATGGACGCTGCGGTCGCATGCCGCGACTCAAGCACGGGCAAGCCCTGGGCGTTCTTTGTGGACTGGCCGGGCAGTGGCTCCACGAACCGCACCTCGACGCCGCGGCCGTCGACGATCAAGACCTTGTCTCGCCCGATGCCGCCGACGCTGGGCACCTGAATCAAAAAATTCAAATGCGTGTGCGTGCCGCAAGGACCCTCGGAAACGG